AATTTAAGTTTAATAACGAAATAATTTATTTTTAGTTTAATAATATGACATTTTATAAAGATAATAATTAAGTATTCTGGCAGAACTCAATGATTATCTTAATTATATTTTAGATTTTTTATATTTAAAATGAGATGTTTATCCGTAATTTAGATATGGAGCTTTAATAAGTTGTACTTACGCACAATCTAGTTGTAATATAGAGTTTTAAGTAATATGCATTAATAAATAGCACTTCACGCATAAAAAATGGTTTTTAAGAGTTTTTGTCAAATGCTTTATAATATAACTAGTTGTGTACCCGCGCAATGCAGCAGGATGTAAAAGCTTCATTAAGATTTATCCAATTTCAAAATATCAAAAATTTTTTAAGATGTCAAAAAACGTACTTCATTAAGATTTATCCGAAATCAATTTTTATTCAAAATGATCAAAATTACAAAACTATATATAAACTAATTTTACAAAAAGAATGCGTCTACTCAAAATATATTTCAGCTAAGACTTAGTAGGCAACAGTGATACAAACTCTCAAAATAGTCTTCATTATGGATTAAAGTAAACCTACACACCAACCATGCATGAAAACAAAGCAATGTAAACCTTAATCATCCACCTTGCTAGTCTCATTATAAAATGCATCATACCCCTTGCACAACAATCAACACAAGAAACATTGAAGGTAACATTGAAACAAATATATTGCTAAACATTGCCCAGGAGCCCATATTCCATATTTGGAGTGTGTAGATACACCATATAGAACCTTATCAGAAACACCCATGCAAGGTTGTCAATGCAAGCCAAGAATTAACCTGGATAGTGCAATAATAACCAAACAGTCCATTAAGGGCCCTTCTTGCTTTATCAAAAAAGTTGTCATCCAAATTCAAAGACAGTGTAATCGAAGAGCTTAACTGTTTCCCAATAGACCTTTTAATGACATCCCCATCAGAATCTCATGTATAATTCAGCCACCTAGATTAAGGATTAAGATTCAAGAAGGTTGTATCTTAGGACACACCTGACACAATGTATTGAGATAAGAAACCTAAGTTATCACATTATCCTATTCCTAGAACATGATATTTATGAAGTTTACAGTACCAAGGCTAACAGGGTAAAATCAAAATCATATCATAAAGCTTCAATAGATTTGAATTCAACATAAGCTTTAATGGTGAAAAGGGTATGCAGGAATTCATACATGATAAATGATATGCAGAAATGTAAAATCATATTGGTAATCACTGTGTCATTTACCTTACTGGATGAACATGGCAAGGGTTGAGAATCTTATCCAGTAAGAGCAACAATGAAGATGAAGAGTCTTACCCAATAAGTGATGGTGACGACTCTTACCTGGTAAGCGCTTACCAGGTAAATTGTTGCATATGATAACGTGTTGATAGACTATAATTTTTTATTTGAAAACACCTACTACATTATCACATAGGTTGTTTTGCTTGCTGTTTCCTATGATGCAATGCAAAGAAAAAGAAAGATTGTAGGAACTCCTATGTTGGTCTTTGATAAACATAAAAATTGTACCTATTTTGGCAAATAAGTACAGYTCACTGGTTTAGCTTACGCTCAAATTAGTCAGCCAGCTTAGGCTACATGAGACAGAACTTGGTAATAAAATCACACTATCAAGAGGGGAATGGACAGAACTTGACTGTTGATTCACATGTGTATATGGTTCAAACGAAGAAGGGAATGAGTTCAAATGAGGTCAAATTCTTTAAATAAATCACACTATCAAGAGAACGTGCAAGAATGAAAGCTAAGCCTTAAATAAATCACACTATCAAATAAGGTCAAATGGGAGCAAAACCTTCCCAGCACCAAATACATGCTTTGCACAAAATGTGCAAGAACTATTAACAGAAAGATCAATTAATTACCTTGAATCGAGTGTGGAACAATCATATGAATCACGTGAACAATTAATTCGGTTCTACCGATAGATGAGTTTCAGTCCTGTAGAGCCATCCACAATAAAAAAAACCAATTTGATATGTAGATTCAAAACCAAATTCAAACGAAACTAAATGCAATCTTACCAAGAGATGAAATGTTACTTCTTCAGATTGATATGGCTTAGATGATACAAGCATCTTGATAATATGCAACAAGCATTCTATGCATACACACATAGCAGGGCTATTCAATCTTGGACTTAGCGGGTAAGATTTTTGGTCCTTACCATATTCATCTGGTAAGGTAATGTGACTTGGTAAGCGCTTACCCGTTTGGTAAACGGTCCCTAACAGTTGTTCATTTCACCTTTATTCCAGATAAATGTCTAATTCACACAAGGCTTAATGAAAACAAAAAAGAAAAACAAACAGTCACTCAGTCTCGTGGAAGCTTCAGAAATGATGTCACATGCATCAGGTCATAAGGCCACATGCAGATTGGTAAAAATGCTTATAAACATATCACAAAACCATCTGCATTTAGAATCCTACTATTCAGATGAGAGGCTACTATACTGAAAATGAAGTAGCAACACTATAGGGATAAAATGTGAAATTCTTACCAACTCATTAGACATAAAGCAAATTCCTGCAAAAGAAAGTAGATTAGTAAAATTGCAACATATACAAGTTATACAGCAAACTAAAGTACGTATGTAGCAAGGGGAAAACTTGCATGATCCCTACACTTTGAAATCAATCCAATAGACAGTAAAATGAAAAAGAACAAACCTATGGCAACAATAACTGACCAAATTCTTCCCCTTTTCTGAGAGAGTGCATAATTGGTAAGAGTTGATTATAGGCAAAACAATGATGGCGAGTTTGTTTGTTGCCACATGTTTGCCCAGTAAAAAACACCGAACTTCAGCCACTCACCAATAAGATATAGTCTTCAACATCAAGGCCAAACTCTGAAGCATTCATTGCATGAACCATCAAAAGCAATAGCACTAATCATGTGCTTGTAAAGCACACGTTAAGAAAGAGAGAGAGATAGGGAGGCATGGGGAATTAGCAGTATATATAATAGCCTCTCAAAAGTTAATTAAAGTTTAGGAATGTACATAGTTAAAAGACAACTTTGAATACCAGATCAGACCCACATGGTGACCAAATAGAAATTTGCTCCACAAAGATTGTTCTAAAACAACACAATCTTCTAAGTAAATAAACAATCAGCTTGTTATCTCCAAAGACTTCAAGATGTGAAATTGCAATAAAGCAAGTCCAGCTCTTTTAAATTCTCTCTAAACACTATTGAGCTTTGTTAAATTGCTTAGAAGCATAAGCTTTTTTCAAGAAAATACACTATTTTTCAGAGATTCAGTATATATGATGTTAGATTTGCAAACATTTGGTCCTGTGAAAACGTCTTCTACATTTGCACTCCTTTTTCACTCCACCTTTGTATAACTTTCTGAAGGTACATAGTTATTTACAAGTCCATGATTATGGGCTTATGGCTTCTCCAGAATGGTGGATTTTCTCATTTTTGTTAATATTTTTTATTTCAAAATAATCTCCCATTCTTAATGCATTCAAAGGGAAAACCAACAATTTGTCTTATTAATAACAAACAATCATAAAATTCTCTGTTCATATTGTAGATTTTAGCTAACTGTATTTTTCTTGGTGCATGTTATTTTGGGATATCAACAAACGAAATATGTGTGAGGATGGCAAGGCTAACACCCAGATTCTTTTTTGTGGACCTCATTTTGCAGCTTCACATAACTACACCAAAGAATACTTGCAGAACTGTCTATCTATCCAGGTTTTTTAATTGATGAAATAATAATAGATGGCAAACAGGACTTCAGAATTGCTTAATCTGATGAACTTCTGTATCTCTTATTTCATAGGTTGATGATCTTCCATTTGCTAATATACCTGATCTTATTGGCAACTATGATATATGTGTGGTGAAAAGCATGCGGCTTAATTCAGATGTTATTGCTCGTGCAACTCGGATGAAGCTCATAATGCAATATGGTGTTGGCTTAGAAGGTCATTGTCCATTTGCTTAATCTTTGTGTACTGAACTGTAGAACTAAAATTTCTGACCTCCGAGCACTCTAAGAAGTCCAACTACTTCTATGAATTCAATTCTTTTTCAATCTTTTAATGAAGGTATTGATGTAGCTGCTGCTACAAACCATGGAATTAAAGTTGCAAGAATTCCTAGTGGGGAAACAGGAAATGTTGCTTCATGTGCTGAAATGGCCATCTATATCATGTTAGGTCTTCTCCACAAGCAAGTAGGTTCTCATACTAATCTACTAACTAATACTTTTATCAATTTACATTTTCATGTATGTTAATACAGTAGGTTGCTTGCTACAAGTTTCCAGTTTTACATCATAGCTATTGCATTTGATCAATTCAGATTACATAAATGGTGAAACATAGTAATAGAGGCAACTAATAGCAGATGTGATGATATTTATAAATATAGAGGCTTTTGCATTTAAGATCAAACATTAGCACAAAGGTATATGTGTAAGTGTGCAACACAGAGTGTTGGCAAACTTAAGGCAAATGGGTTATGCAAATACTCCATATAAATAACTGCACTGGAAATTAGATCTTGGAAACATCCTCAACTCGGATAGGAATTTGTGGTTTGGTAATGCAACCATGTTGCCAGGAGAGTGCATAAAATAAGGTTGTTAGGAACGTTACAAACCAACACAAAATTATGTAATCAAATATTTTGAATATTAAAATTATTTGTATCAGTCAGCGATTCAAATATAGAGCAAGACAAAAGGTACTTTAAATTAAACCCATGTCCTCATAATGAAAAAATGACAAAAGAAAAAATGTAGGCATGAAATATGACTTGTTCATAGAAATGATAAATGTAGAAGAGCTTGGTGAAGAATTGAAGAAGTATGAACATATGTGATCTTAAAGCATATAAATACATAAAAATATAAGTTATTGAACAACTAACCTCTATATCAAGTTTTGGGACTTCTCTCTCAGCATGCACACCTAAAACAAAACGGAAGGATAATAGAAATCAATTAAAAATCGCAAATGAAGATGTTAGCAAAGTTCCCGCAAACACACCTATGTACCTTATTCATTATATCTAGCATGAACTTCTGCCCACCAAATCCAAGTTCCACAGTCATAACAAGAACCATTTCAACATGATTTTCACCTTCAAGCTATGAACCAATGGAATGAAAATATTAATCTATAAGCTAGATGATAATACAATTAATGTGAAAAAGGTTATTTTACACCATCAGCACATGCTACAATAACTTTTGTCCTAAACAAGCTTCCTGGTTTTGCATCTGTTCCCCTGAGAAAGCACAACCAAATATCAATTACTTTTGTCCTAAACTCCCATTCTCATATGAAGAATCGATGGATGAAGATATTAGTAGTTTCTATTCAACAAATCTAAAATATTAGTGATTTGTTCTTAGCAACTAAAAAATCCCTAAAGAATAGCTCAAATCCATAAGCCACATCTCACAAAATCGCAGAATCAAGGATAATGATAGAAAAAAAAGTGCAATCGATACATACAACTCCGGTAACACTGGTCATTGAAAGAGAAAACTTCTGATCCGATAGGTAGTCCCTTGTTAGCAGATCTACACATAACCAACAACATATAGAAAATTGCTCACATAAACTAAATCCAAAGTCGTATGCATATATATTTCGATCATTTAGAGAATTCAATGCGTAGAAGAAGATCAAAGTTGGAAACGCACCTTTGGCTTTCTTGCCGATATCGGAGAAGAGTCCTAGTCCACTGTTCATTGTCGATGACGACCAGAAAGAGAGAGAAAACGACGTAGGAGATTCGACGGGGAGATTGAGGCCCTAAGGGGAAGGGGGGGGGGTTATATCTACAAATGGTTCGAGATTAAATCGAATCAGTATTCTTAGAAAATCTGTTAGGGATGAAATCCGTATTCTTCAATATCTGTTGGCGATGAAATCGGATAGGGATGAAGTCGTTTCTGTTGGTGATGAAATAGGATGAGGATGAAACCGTTTAGGGTTTAGGGATGGCTTTAATAGGTTGTACCATTAGCAATAGAGATTGTTTTTAAGAGTTTTAGCCAAATGCATTATAAGATAGTATAGATATAGATACTTAAAAATATTCCTTAAAATATCCATTCTTGTAGCGGATATCTAAACTTTACTATATATCTATATTGGGTAAACGTATATTGTGAACCATGTCCTGTTTAAATTACTATATTGCATTTATAACATATTTATTTGAAAACTATATGTTCTGAATGCGTTAGTCATTTTATATGGAGTCATGTAATTTAGACCGTAATGCAATGGACCCATAGACGTGTGAGTTAGTCGTTTTGATAAGTAAGAAGTTTTGATGTTCTCACTTTAAGACCAGTGCTTGAGTAAGCATCGTGGTTGTGTCAGTACGGTGGAGGAACCCGTGTAGGGTTGAACTTCAAGACAATGTCGATATTGAGGAGATGAACTCTTATGAGTCAAGCTCTGAGACCGTGGGTGTTGTGGAGGTGATCTCTTGATGAGTCGGACTTCTGGCATCTGGACCCTTGTTTGTTTAAGCTTAGACCTAATAGAGTTGACACTAAGTCATTGAGGATGTTGCAGGGATGAACTCGTGTGGAGTCGGCCCCAAGGAGTCAAGGACCATTGGCTTTGAAGGTGTAACTCTATTGTGTAAGAGTAGAATTAAGATCAGGGGTATTGCAGAGATGAACTCGTGTAGGATCGAGCTCTAAGACCTTGAGTATTATGGTGGAAACTCGAAAGGAGTTAGACGCTAGGACCTGGATCTGGGGTGATACTCGGTAACAATGATAAATGGCCTACTTTGTGTTTCAGTAAGATCGATGGAAACGAGTCTCCTTCGTTACCAAAATGTGTTGTTTAATTTGTATTGATTTAATTTGTATGATTGGTACCTTTGAAACTTCACAACAAAACATTGTGAAGATAAAAAAAATCCGAACCTTCACAACATTTACAGTGTTTTGCTATGAAATGTCAAGTATAAAAAAATGGTGTTACAGGTTTCACGAAAACAAACGGATATCACGTGATTTCAAGTCTCTATTATATAATTAAATGATACCTTCACGATTTTTAATCTCAAGTTTACCCTTTAAGTTTAATTCCAAATAAAATTCTGCCATTATGGTTTTTGCGGTTTCTGTGGCTCCATTTATGGATCTGGAAAAATATTACCAATAAATAATGTGATGAACTTTTGCTGAAAATGCTATTTGTAACTCTAAAAACAAATATTAACGTAATTTAATTCTTTTTAATTAATTTGGACTGTTTATTTAACATTAATAATTTGACAATAAATTAGAAAAATTCATCCATACAACTAAATCTATATAAACAGTTTAAAACATGGATGACTTAATAAAAAATAAACAAAACAACCCCTTAATTTATTACAACATTTACATATATCAAAAGACCGGTTCTAATTAGGGGTGCTCATGGGTTGAGTTGATCGGATTGAAGACATTTGAACAACTTAACCCAATGTTTGCGGTTTGAATTTTTTTAACCTAACTCAAACCAAAGTGCAACCCAATTCAACCCAAACCGTACGGGTTGGTCGGGTTGATATTTTTGGTACCTTAAAATATTCTTATAACCTTGAATATGTTATTTTTCTACTCATAATTTCTTTTCATCATCAATCATTTGATACAACTTATCCATACTTTTTACGTATATCACATTCAGTTAACTTTCTCAATATATATACATATGTCCACAGTTACTGAACATATATACGAATGAGTTATATAGAGATGTGAATAAATTGAAAATATGTGTATATGAAGAGCATACGTGACAGTGTAATTGTCTAATATATATATTAATAGAAATTCAACGATCATATTAAATCCAAAAAATAAAAGGATATCGAGTTGGGTTGGGTTCAAATAATAGTAACCCAATATCAACCTAATACCTACAGTTTGAAAATTTTACAACTCGATTAGACATCGGATTGCTTCAGATTAAGTTATTTCACGTTGAGTTGGGTTAGATTGATCGGTTTTTTGAACACCCTATTTCTAGCCAGAATATTTATCAATTGTCATTGGAGAATGACAAAAATACATTGGTAATATTTTAAAGAATATGATAACGAATGAATGGACTAGTATGTTCCTTATCTTTCTATCTTTTATTTTAATCATCATATTTAATACAAAGAACATAAACACATGTTATATATATATAGGGTTAGGTACGTGAGACCAAGGGTTTTTCGTGAGACCTGTAAGACCAATTTATGTTCATTGATCAACTTTATAAACATATGATCTAATGGTCTAAAGTTGCACGGTGACAATTTTGTAATTATTGAGAAGTCTTGTGGCGTTTGTGAATGTTCAGATCTGACGATTGTAGATCTAATTCAAGGGTTGAGAATTGGTTTTACGGGTCTCACGAAAAACTATTAATTTCACATAATCTCAAGTCTATATATATATATATATATATATATCTCATCTATCATCCATGAGTTGTTATTTGTTAATTTATATTATATATATATATATATATATATATATATATATATATATATATATACACACATAGAGTTGAGTTTGAATGAGAAGGAAAGGTAAAATTAGAAACATAAGAAAATATCACATTAGAATGAGATACACAGATCAATTCTTGTATCAAACACGATTTATAGGTGGATTTAAAATTACAGGTGGTCAAGTGTCTAGATCTCTTTTTACATTTCTCACTTTAACTCTCGTTATCAAACGATCATTCATCTATACACATATATATATATATACATATATATACATATATATATATATATCATTGTTTTTGGGGTTGATATCCCCACCCCTTCCTCCTCGGATACTCACCCCTATAATTTTAAAATTTACATTTTATACTCCTATAATTTTAAAATTTATATTTTATACCCTTATAATTAATTAATTATTATATATTAATATACTGTGAAAAAATATTTTTAACATTTACGTTTTATACTTTTATAGTTATTTATTTAATTTATGATACATCATTTATTTTTACACTATTATCACATTAAAATACATAATTTTATATTAATTAAAATTAGATCTAACAACTAAATTAGCCTCTCATGAACCATTTTCATACCCTTTATTCATCTTACATACTTATTTTTTTTAATATACTTGTTAAATTTTAAATTATACTTCATATTCTGTAGTTACTTAATTAATTTATTTTTATAGTTTTGTTTTTTCTATTTTTTGTTTTATACCCTTATCACATTAAGATACATAATTATATATTAACTAAAATACGTTAAAAAAAATACGTTGAATTTTAATAAGTTACATCATTATAATCGTCTTGTCAATACCTTCAAAATAAGTCTAATATTAATTTTTTTTATTTAATTATATTATTATATCATATATTACTACGAAAAAAATATTTTTTAACACTTATACTTTATACTCTTATAGTTGATTATGTAATTTATGGTATGTCCCTTTGTTTTTCATTTTTCATTTACACCCTTATCACATTAACATATATAATTGTATATTAATTTAAAAAATATATTTTTATTTTAACAAGTTATACTATTATAAATTGTCTCCTCAATACCTTCAAAATTTATTAATATTGAATATTTTTTGATTTATATTATATTATTATATGATATATATTACAAAAGAATATTTTTATCACTTACACTTTATACCATTATATTTATTTAATTTTTGAGTACATCCCTTACTTTTTCATTTTTCGTTTTACACTTTTATCACATTAACATACAATTGTAGATTAAACTGAAATACGTTAAAAATATATTTTTATTTTAACAAATTACACTATTATAATCGTTTCGTCAATACCTTCAAAATAGACTAATATTAATTTTTTTATATTTTTAATTATATGACCATAATAATATAAATATAACAAGGATATAAAAAAATAGTAAAAAAAATGTATATCACTGAATTGTGCGAGTATTCTTCTATTATTTATAAAGGTATAAAGTGTATATAAAAAAATCATATACAAATATAAAATTTAAAAATACGTATTTTTAATACTT